ATATATATATATATATATATATATATATATATATATATATATATATATATATATGTGCGTGTGTGTGTGTAGTATAAAAGATGTCAAAATACGTTAACCATATTCATTTAAAATTTACAACTTTTCAATTTATCATCTAATTACTACATATCAAAAGGTTTTTTATAATTGTATTAAATTTTACTTTAATATTAAAACTTTTTAGTTTTCAACTAATTAACTATTATAACTCAAGAGTTTTTATAACTTATGGTATATTAATTGGTTGATTTAGAATGTATATATTTAGTTCATGAATCTACATTAGATTGTTAGGATTTAAAGAATAAGATTGGGAAAAAAAAGCTAAGAAGACATCAAGTTTTACTTCAAAGGATAGAACATGAGCAATAATATAGTTGTTTGATAGACATTTTCATCAAATAGATTATTATTATGTCTTTCTTTATGTTAAACTTCTTTGTTTTTTGCATATCGTTTTCTATTATTAGAGTTTATGTTTTTGTTTGTCATTTTAATATTGTTTCTTGATTTTCTAATTTCTAATTGAAACTTATCATTTATTGTTTTGTTTATTATTAAAGTTTATTTTTTTGTTTGTCATTTTAATATTGTTTCTTAAGTTTCTAATTTCCAATTGAAACTTATTTTTTGTTGTTTTATAATTTATCAATAAAACTAACATTCGAAATAATGAAAATGTTTGCTAGGAAGTGATGGGTAACATTAATAACATATAAAAAAATAACTAAATATTAGTAAGAAACAATTTAATGCAATGATTAGTATAAAAAATATTAATTCTAAATTAATAACAAGGATATAAAATTTTCTAATATATATATATATATATATATATATATATATATATATATATATATTATTGTAATCAATGGATTATATATATCATAATTTTAATTTTATTCCTACTAGTTTTATTCCCACGGATTTTCACCTAATTCAATTATAATATTAGACAAATAGTAAGAAGGTAGTTGTCTTAGATTTCAAATAAGTCACTATTTTGCATTAAAACTCCAAGACTTCTTTAACTTACTAAACTTTTTTTTTTGCTTGTTAATGCTTCCCACCAATTTTTTAGTGAAGTCATGACAATTGTTTTATGTGTGAGATGTTTATGTTGCATTTTCTTCACCAAATTGATCATGTTTTTCATCAATGCAAAACAAATCAAATCCAATTACTCAAATCGTACCAAAGAAAAACATCCATTTCATCCTCTTCTTGAGCACCATATCATAAAACAATTAGAAGGTTACAACTTTCAATTACTAATTCACCAAAAGCCAGAAGAACAACAAGTCATCAGTCATCCTATTAATTTGAGCTAAAATCTCTACAAACTGAGATCTTTATTTTAGGTCTAACACGAGGAACAAAAAGTACATTTTTGGGGGCCTACTTTGTTGTTGTATAGACTATAAAGGGTAAACATAAGCAAATGACCTAAACATTTTAAATTTTTTTTTTTCAAAAATGTGATCTCTACGAATTTTCTTTTTTATATCATTGGATTTAAACCCGAATAGGCAATCAATACAGTGAACCTATTTTAAATTTACATCACCTTTAATTTTGTACTTTGCAACCAAACTCCCACATCAAAACCCTGGTTCTTGCTTCATATACATCCCACCTGATCCCTCAAACATCATTGTCTGAAAGTATCAACAAACATAATTTCTTTTTATATTTTCTTTTTTTACAATTTTACTTGTTTTTATAACTTATAACTCAAACTTCATTACCTGACTTGATGTTGGTAAAATACTATGAGCAAGATCTTCATTTAGTGATACAGGGAATGGTGGCCCAGGCATATACCTCATACTGCATTTTTTTTTTTATAAAAATAAACGCCAAATTAACACAAATAAAGTGAATAGATAGATGAAAAAAGAAAGAATTATTGTCATACTTGTTTAATATGGTAGTTATATTATTCTTCATGTGGTTGAAAAGGTCGATATTGTCCTGCAGCTACTCATGAAACAAGTGATGGATAAATATAAAGAATTAGCTTTAAATACAGATTCAAAATCATAAAAAGTTAGGCCCTTTTCTTTTCTTTTTTTCCTCAGATAAAAAAGTGTTTACTAGATTAAGTTTTGTAAAAAGGAAAGGATAAGTCCATTCAGATGATGAAAAAACATATGTTTGGAAAAGTGAAGAAAGACTTACTTTCATTGAGGAAATATTAGCTGAAATCTGACCAATAACTTGGTTATTTTGTTCTAGTAAATTCCTTATTGAGCCACTTAATGCTGCATCAATTAGTAAATAAATGATAAATCCATTGTGTTAGAAATATATCCTAAAAACCTACAAGTAATGTAAATATAAGAAATGATAATTTTCAGCTATGAACTATATTTATCCATACCTTCAAAAGTAATACTGTCAATCTGGACATGATTATTCATGGTAACAGAAAATGGAGCCACATTTAATGTTGGAACTGATGATATACTTGGCTTTGTAAATGATTCCACCAAAGTATCCTAAAAACATATCATATATCATAATCAGAATGCTGTTTTTTATGCTAAAAGATATTTTTATAAAAAATGTATGGTTGCATAAGTATACTGTATACCTTCTTATCTTTCAACTTTTTCCCCATATTTAGTCCTTCCTGTTTCCTTCGTTTCCTCTGCCAATTATATAATCTTGTTAGCAATTTGAAAGTGTAAAAAGATGAATTTTTAATCAATGAAAGCCAATAAAGATTTTATTGAAAATGAGTAAAAAAACTCACAGCCATCCACCTACACCTCAGAGCAACATCACGAACAGTTTTATCACGCAATGTGGCAGCGATCTTGATGTACCTCATGATGCTAGGTTCATCAGCAAATCTACATATAATGTACAGGATCATATTCATATAATCTAAAAGAAGAAAGAAAAGGGAGCAAAGAAATGGGGGTTTGAAAGAAAATTAGGAATGAAAAACACTTACTGGGAAAGCCCTTCGTCTAACTTATGTTGTTCTTCAGCAGACCATTCGACAGCCAAGCCTGCATCATGCTTCAACCCTGGAATGGAATCAGCAAGAACAGAACCAGAGGAATTCGGATTCCCAGCTTGTGTAAACCCTGAACTGCTGTTTGCTATATCACAGTTTGAAAACCTTGTGCCTAGTGTTGATGTACTGTTCATTGGATAGTAATCACCCATCATCATCATCTCCGATGTGCTGGCTACTGCACTTGTTTGGAAGGATATGGCATGTCGATTCAGACCAGAGCTCAAGGTTCTATTGTAGTGAAAACCAGTATCCATGGCGCAATAATACTAAGCAGCCATTAAAGCCTCTAATACTTTTTGGTTGTTGCTTGAAGATTCTATAGATAAGAAGGTATCGATAGAGAAAAGAATATTGAAGTTGCGTCGAGTTATGAATCCGTATACCCCAAATTAAAACCCTAGATTCCTTGATCGATATCAAAAACCCATAATAATCAGATCAAAGACTTATTTTGGATATCATAAACACCAATAATCAAATATAACCGCCAAATCGATGCATAAAATACCTTATTAAACCCCAATCGAACAAATTACAACATACCCCCAACGAATCTTCATCTCTTCCGTTATTATCTACAGATTTCAGCAATCAAACCTTCAAATCACCTCATCATTTCATGGTAAAAAAAAAACGCGGGACTGGCAATGACGAACAAAGAGGAAGTATGCACCCAAAAATCGATAAAGCTGTGGGTAAATTGATAGTAAAAGAAAGGGGTTTCCTAATGTATAAACTTTTTGACAAAGTTGGGTGCTTCTGTTGCCTTTTTCGCTCATCACTCACTAAACACACATTTCTGTTGATTACTTTTGCTTTTTGTTGCTTAGCGCGCACTCATACAATGATACAACAACAAAACCCTCTTCCATTTCTCTTTGTATATGTCTAAGACTCTGATGTTAGTGGTTGAAATTTGAAAGAAGGGGGTTGTATCATGTATGTATACTAATCTAATACAATATTGGAGCTCTGGCCAATGAGGAATCAGAAAGACAGTTGCATTTGTGTAATGAATAATTTAGGTTTAGCTTTTTGTAAACTTTTTTGGTTGTGCAGATCTTGGAATTCAGCAATAGTGCGAATCCCAATAAGCATTTGATGCCAATAATTGTCACCATTCCATTTCCACCCAATGATGACGATGGTCTTCTCACCAAATGTTTACTCGTAATAATTTTGTAGCCATTTGAAGACAAAATGAATTGTTTTCCGTATTGTTGGAAGGTTGAAGTGCATTTGAATGTTTCTGGAAATACAAAATTGAAATGATGCTTGATCAAATAATGTCATTTTATTTGATAAATTTGATAAATGTGTAATTTGGTTATGACAATAAGACTATGGGTAAGAAAAATATTGGTTGTTCAATCATAGTCAAAACGGTTAGTGCTCAAAGGTGATTCATTATTATTATTAACTAAAAGGTTGTTGGGTTACTTTTTATAAAAGATATTAAAAAGATATGTAAATATTTGTTTACTAAAAAAATATGTTTCTTCATGTTTTTTGCACGACAGAGCTTCATACCATCTATTCTATTATGTATTTTTAATATGGCTTTTTAATTGAATTGTTTGTTGAGAAATTTATTGTGTACATTTATGGTACAATTTAGTTATATATAACTATTGAATAATAATTTGTGTGTCAGATACAAAAAAAATGTAAACATAAAGACAAATAATATATAGGAGCTTATTTCTTTCGAATTACTTGATCAGAAAATTTTAAGGTCTATTACGTCAAACTCATCATGAATAAAGAATGACACGGGTTCTCTATTATCGATGAAGTCTCTCGTACGATTGTCATTGGTAAAGTGGACATGAGGGGAAGTATTATAGATCCAAAAAAAGATAGTTAGCGATATCGATGGTCATGAGGTCATGACATTTCACTCGACAGAGTGGAATCATAGAACAGTTCCACTCGGCCAAGTATTTCATACCTCCACTATTTTCTATAAGCTTATGAATGATGGAACATGAGCATTTTAGGTTTATAAACTTTAGTTTAATTATCTAGAAAGTAATTAACAACTAATACATAATTTATTTGATATTTAGGTGACTAATAGACAACCAAACGGTATTAGAAGTGAAGTAGTGTACATGCAACAATTGATGTAAGTAAACATTTCTTTGTTACATATTTGCATTTTCAAACTTTCTTTGATTTGAACTATTATGTGCATTTACTACTCGAGATACTATATGTTATGGACGTGCCTTCATGGAATGTTTTTGTAAAGAGTTTTTGAAAATAGGGACAAACTATTTTGTTTGGAAATGAGATTTTGACTATGAACTTGTGCATCCACTAGGCAGGGGCGGATTTAGGGGATCACCGGTGGCACCGGCAACCCCTAACTTTTCCGGCCATAGTGGAAAATTTTTTGAAAATTTTTAAATTTTTTATTTTTTCTACTATTGTGCAACCTCTAACTTTCCTGTGCATCCCTACTGAGAAATCTTGTGTCCGCCCCTGCCACTAGGATGGGTTATCACTTGTATGGTCGGGACACTTGAGGTTGACTTGGATATTCAAATGAGAATGTTGTAAATGTTGTAAATGATTGTGTATGGTTTCCAAAAAAACAAAAAAACAAAACCCTTAGTGTGCGAAAAGTTGCAAAAATATGAATGTTTGTGAATAGTTTCTAATGAAACTTTCACGTGCAGGTTGAGTTTTTTTTATGGTTCATATTTGAATTTTTTTTCTATACACACATATGTATGTTTGTGTGTGCGTGCGTGCATGCGATACGTATGTACGCATGTATATGTATGTGCATGTGTATATGTGCGTACGTACTATGTACACAAGTATGAATGAATGTACGTATGTATGTATTTATGTATGAATGTATGAATTAAAAGTCTATTTATGAAAATATAAATAATGTGCAACTTTTATAATGTACATCTCTTATGCAACTGTTTCTCTTTGATATAAATTTTAAACAAAAATCCTGACTTGACTTTTAAGAGTTTAATATTTATTTTTATATAAAACTTAAACAGAAAGATTTGACTTTTAAAAGTTGAATATTGGTTGTGTGAATTTTAAGGTAATAACGAATCGAATATGTGTTGTCAAACATAAAATAATGAATAATTGCCAGTATGTATGATTAGTGGAAAATGTTTTGCATAATTATCTATTTAGCGACTACTTATCATGACAAAATATGAATGATTAGAGGAACTATTTGTGTCCCATTTATTCGGTAGGTTAAACACAATTTTCCATTGATCCTTTTATTTCGATAATGAGAAAATTGGTAAACTATAAAACTGTCGTTCTTATATAACGCCCGATTACGGCTATTATGTACGAAGTAAATCACGGAACATAAACGATCAAGGGTGTTTACATGAATTTTGAACCTGAGGTCTCCATTATACAATTTCATGTTCATAATACATCTTGAAGATGTTTGGATGCGTGTCTTAAAAGTTATTACATGACATTGTATGATTATATTCAGATAATTAACTCCAATATTTATATATCTAAGAGAAAATGACAAAAATAGCCAATTATCCTAATCACTTTGCGGAAAATAGCCAAAAAAAATCGAAATTGCAAAAATAGCCATGAAAATCGCAGATGGGAATGGTCCATCTGCGATTTGCACATTCCATCTGCGATTTACACTGTTCACCTGCGATTTTGCGCATGAAATTCTATAAAACGATTTTTTTTTCCTCATTTTTCACTCTTCAATATAGAAAAACTCTCTCTCTCTCTCTCGGGGATTCATTTTGACGATTTCTTGAAGAAAATGGACGATTAGTTCAACAATCCCAAAAATATGGTTAGATTTTAACTCTTTTTATGTTTTAATTAACATTTATTTAGTATATATCTTTATTATTTTATTATTTATTGTATTAGTTAGTGTAAAAAAAAGAAATTATATTGTTTGTGATAGGATAATTTTGTTGTATTTGATAGTTTTAATATTTGTTATTACTAAACTTGAAGTTTAAATGCTATTTTGTTAGTGGTTGTATGAATGTACAAGTAGAGACTGCGTAGAGTGTGCATCGGGTAGTTGTACATTTAGTAAAATTGTTAGAATATGCTTATTTTTTTAAGTTATTAGTTAAATAAATTGTTAGAATAATGTTTACAATATGTTTGGTTAGTGGTTTTCAATATGTTTGGTTAGAATATGTTATTTTATATAATTTGAAACTTAAAAATTGTTTGTATATTTGTCGTATAAGTTGAAAAATTGTTAATTTAGTTGTCGTTTTAGTTGAAAAATTATTTGTTTATATGGTTAGAAAATGTTATTTGATATAATTAGAAAGATAAAACTCGTTTGTATATTTGTCGTATAACTTGAAAAATTGTTTGTATAGTTGCCATTTAAGTTGAAAAATTGTTATAGTATGTTATTGTTTTTTAGCGTAAATATATAAATTATTTATTAAATATTTGTATTTGCATTGTTATTATGTTATTATTACATTTAATAATAATATAATTTAAAATGAAATAGTTGTTTAGTTTTCTAATATGTTATTGTGTTTTTTGCAGCATAATTATAATAATTTCGATGTGAAAGCTATTGTAAACTTAAAGGGATCGGGGTGTAACATATGTGAAGGATTTGAAGTGTTAGATGGTGTGAGACGTGATATATTTAGAGATACAATATTTGGTTACTTGTTGGACGTCCCTCGTTTACAAGGGGACGGATTGCTGTTCCACAAAATGTTCCTTCATCAGATACGGTCGGACGGTGTTTTATCTTCAGATGGAATAAAACGGTTATATTTTAGAGTAGGCGATACGAAAATGGTTTATGAGCCGGAAGA